TGGACTCCCGGACCTCCCTTGGCCATCTGAACGACGAATCGGCTCGAATAAGACCGTCAATAAACCTCCTCACCCTCTCTCTCTCGGTGGGAAGTATGACAAGAGCATGGCGAGCTAGATCAATGAACCTGGTCTCATACTGGGTGACCATCATGGAACCCTGCTAAAAGCACTCAAACTGCCTCCGAAAGGCCTCTCGCTGAGTCACGGGGAGAAACTTCTCCAGAAAAAACACTGAAAACTGCTCCCATGTCAAAGATGGTGACCCTGCTGGCCTGGCTAAACAGTAATCCCTCCACCAAGTCTTGGCGGATCCAGATAGGCGAAATGCAGCAAAATCAACCCCATTGGTCTGAACAATACCCATGTTCCGAAGAACCTCGTGGCAACTGTCCAGATAATCCTGGGGATCCTCAGTAGATGCACCGCTGAAGGTAGTAGTGAAGAGCTTGGTGAACCTGTCCAATCTCCACAAAGCATCGGCAGACATAGCTGCTCCATCGCCGGTCTGAGTCACTACACCCGGCTGAACTGCCATAGCTGGCTGAACCACTAGAACCTGAACCTGGGGAGCTACCTGCTCCGGAGTGCGTGTAGCAGGAGTCTGAGCCCTTCTCCAGCCTGAGAAGTGACTGGTGCTACTGGAAGCAAACCCGCTCGGGTGACACTCTCCATGAGGCCCACCAATCTGAAAAGAGCATCCTGAAGAACTGGGGTAGCAATAAACCCCTCTGGGACCTGAGTTGGGCCCACCAGAACTGCTGGGGCTGGGGCCGGAACCTCCTCGTCAAAGTCAACCTGAGGCTCCGCCACTGGTGCTGCTGCTCGGGGCTGAGCTCTGCCCCTACCTCGGCCTATAGCACGGCCTCGGCCTCGCCCTCTGCCCCTAGTGAGAGCTGCCTGGGGCTCGGACTGCTGATCAGTAGATGAGGAAGCGCGTGTTCTCGCCATCTGTGAAAGAACAGAGTAGAATTTCAATTAGCATTGAGAAACCAAACCGCACGACAGGAAAGAACAAATGTGAGACTTTTCCGAACTCTGTAGCCTCTGGGGATAAATACAAACGTCTCGGTACTGATCCCTCAGACTCTACTAAGCTTGTCCGTGAATTGTGAGACCTATGTAATCTAGAGCTCTGATACCAACTTGTCACGACCCGGATTTCCCACCCTTGGGAGTCGTGATGGCGCCTACTCGTAGAAGCTAGGCAAGCCACGATCTTAGAAATCATTATTCTTTTTGTTTTTAATTCCTTTTTAACCAATTAAATTAATCGGAAATAAATAATTAAATAACAGCGGAATAAGAAATTAAGCGGAAGTCTTAAATAAAATATAAAACCAAAATATCCTGAAGACCAACACATGCCTCTAACCAGAACCTGGTGTCACAACATCTACGGACTGTCTAGGATTACTACAAATAAGTGTTTGAAAGAAGGGAACATAGTTGTCTCGAGTACAAATGACAACAGAACATTAAAACTGATAGAAGAGACGCCGGGCCTGCGAACGCCAGCAGGGCTACCTCGGAGTCTCGAACTGAAGGATAGCTCCCAATCTACTGCGGATGACCAAATGCTACTTCGGGACCTGGATCTGTGCAAAAGAGCACAGAGTGTAGTATCAGCACAACTGACCCCATGTGATGGTAAGTGCCTAGCCTAACCTCGGCGAAGTAGTGACGAGGCTAGACCAGACTACCACATAAACCTGTGCAGTTAAATATATATATACAGCGGAACAGAGATACAGAGATAACCAACCGATATGGGAGGGGGAGCATGACTCGTGGGGAAAGTTAACAACTACCGAATTAAAACACCAACGTAAGGAAAGGATCAACATAACTACAATGTCAACAAGAAGCAGAAATCAAATAAGTGCACGGCATCACCCTTCGTGCTTTTACTCTCGTCCTCACCAAGCAATAATATAATGAAAACGTGCACGACATCACCCTTCGTGCTTTTACTCTCTTTCCTCACCAAAGCAATTAGAATAATAAAATGTGCACGACATCACCCTTCGTGCTTTTACTCTCTTTCCTCACATATAATCAATAGAATTGGCACGGAATGGTACATCGTGCGGCACGGCATCACCCTTCGTGCTTTACACTCTTTCCTCACAATAGCAACAATGCACGACATCACCCTTCGTGCTTTAACACTCTTCCTCACCCAAACAACAATCACAAACAAGGGGCAAGGTAATAAGCAAAACAATAATAGAAATTCCGGCAAGGGAACATAATTAACCAATTAAATCCCGACAAGGGTATAACATTAACAATCTCAACATCCCGGCAAGGGAGATAATTCAAAAAGCAACAAATATCCCGGCAAGGGAACAATTTAATAACTCTTTCTCTTTTGCTTTCACTTTTAATTCATAACTCACTTTACCACTTGAGCCAATGCTCCAAAGGGTTCAATCATCTCATATACTTTCACAATTCATAATATAACTCGAGCCAATGCTCCATGATGTTCAAAGGTCTCAATTCCTTCCACAAATTTTTTCACAACAACTAGAAATCATCACCAAAACATGAAGAATACAATGAAATTCAGATATTCACAATATAAGGACTCACGGTCATGCTAGACACCAACGTATAGATACTCGTCACCATGCCTATACGTCGTACATGAGTCATACCACATAGCAAATAGGACTCAATTCCTAGTCCCTCAAGCTAAGGTTAGACCAAACACTTACCTCGATGCCTTGAACACAACTCAAGTCTCAATTATAGCTTTACCCCTTGATTCCACCGCCAATTTGCTCGTATCTAATCACAAATTACTTAATTACATCAATAAACGCTAAATGAATCAACCCCAATGCATGAAAATGAGTTTTTCAGAGTTTTACCCAAAAAGCCAAAAAGCGCCCCCGGGCCCACTTGGTCAAAACCCGAGGTTCGAACCAAAACCCGATTACCCATTCCCCCACGAACTCAAATATATAATTTGTTTTGAAATCAGACCTCAAATTGAGGTCCAAATTCCCATTTTTTGAAAAACCTAGGTTCTACCCAAAACACCCAATTTTCCCCATGAAAATCTTTGATTTTAAGTTGAAATCATGTTAAAAGATGTTAAGGAGTGAAGAATATAAGTTAGAAATCACTTACCAACGTTTTGGAGAAGAAAGGTTGTTTGAAAAATCGTCTCTTATGTTTTTAGGGTTTTGAAAAATGAAAAATAAAAAATGACTGAAAATCCCGTTTATTTATACCCCTCTAAGACCCCCTGTGCGGACCGCATTAAATGGACCGCGGTCGCACAGGCTTACCTGAAGACCTGCAGTTCAGCACCCTGTGCGGACTGCACAAAGCCGACTGCGGCCGCACAGCCTCCACCGCGCCCCGCACAAAGGCGACCGCAGCCGCGCTGGCCCCTCCGTGGTCGCACGCGATTTCTCGCGGACCGCATTAGAGGGTTCAGAGACCTGCAACTTTTGAACCTGCAACATCTGATTTTCTAAGCCTAAGGCATCCCGGAACCTACTCGAACCTCACCCGAGCCCTCGGAACTCCAACCCAAGTATACACACAACCTCAAAAATATTTCACGAACTTATTCGTGCGATCAAATTCCCAAAATAACATCATAAACATCAAATTAAACCTCAAAATCCATGAATTCTTTCAAACTTCATAAAACATCAAATTTTCCAATTTAGGTCCGAATCACATCAAACGACATCCGTTTTCAACCAAATTTCACAGGAAGGACTTAAAACATATATAAGATCTGTACCGGGTGCTGGAACCAAAATACGGGCCCGCTACCAACACGTTCTAATCAATTTTCATTTCAAATTTTCTTAAACAATTTCAGAAAACAATTTTACAAGAAAATTCATTTCTCGGGCTTGAGACCTCGAAATTCGATTCTGGGCATACGCCCAAGTTCCATATTTTCCTACGGACCCTCCGGGACCGTCAAATCACGAGTCCGGGTCCGTTTACCCAAAACGTTGACCAAGGTCAAATTTATTCATTTTAACATCAAAACATAGCATTTTTCATAGAATTTCTCATTTAAGTTTTCCGGCTACGCGCCCGGAATGCGCACGCAATTCGAGGCGACTCTAAATGAGATTTTCAAGGCCTCGGAGTCATAGAATTCAATTAAAACAGGTGATGACCCCTTTGGGTCGTCACAATCTCGTCTATACTTCTTTGAGATTAGGCGGGATACTTACTGAGTACACGCTGTTTTTGTACTCATGCTACACTTGCTTTGCATTTTGTTGCACAGGTACAGGTACTTCTACTGGCCTATTGGGCGTAGTAGCACGGGCGACCCGGAGACTAGGTGAGCTGTATTTCCTCGAGGCGACCCGCAGCTAGTATAGTCTCTCTCCCAGAATTTTATTTATTTCCTGTCCAATTTGTATTCCGGACAGTTGTTGTACTTTAATCGATTTCCTAAAAATTGCTCATGCACTTGTGACACCGGGTTCTGGGATGGTTATGAAGTATCTTGTATTGACTGTTTGTCATTTAAATTTGATTTGAGACGATTATCTTTTTAAATGGTAAATTCAAAGGTTGAGACAATTATCTTTTTAAATTGTAAATTCGAAGGAAAATCCTAGATTTCAAAGGTATTAAAACGAGAATTTGATTAAGTACTTTGGTTGGCTTGCCTGACAGTGGTGTCCGGCGTCATCACGACCCTTAGTGGATTTTGGGTCGTGACACTCCTACCTTGTGAAAATAGAAAGGATGTTTCCGATAGATCCTCGGCTCAAGTAAAGATAAAAAAGAAGCAATAGCAACAAGCACTGTGACATATGGTCATAGAAAAAAAAACATCTTTCGTGTTAATTAATGATATAGTGATGAATGATTGATTACATGGTGATCATTGGGAAGATGCAGCTGTACTCCGGGAGCAGTCATTAATCTTCTTTTCTCGACGTCTTCTTAAATACTGCAAAATCAAAAAGAAAAAAGAAAAATCTTCACATTATTTCTAAATCAGTGGAATTCTTGAAAGTATGACATAAAAAGGAAGAAACAAGAGAGACTATTGACCTCTTCTGCAGTTTGGCAGAAGCAAAGCATGTAAGGTTTTAATATGCATATGTTCGAATCAAGAACTTTTCTTGAAATTTAAAAGTAAAAGAAAGCAAACTTTTGATGATTTTAGCAATTTTGTTATCACTTAGCTTACTCCTCAACACTGGTTTGGTACAATTACACACAGTGGCGAAGCCAGAAAATTATTCAAGGGTGTTCAAACTTGAACAAGAAAAAAAAAAGTTCTCAACAAGAAGGTGGACTGAAAAATTTAAATCAAACAACTGATATCGAGCTAAATTATAAAAATACGGGTAATAGTACGAACAATTCGATATAACGAAACTGATATAAAGAAGCGTCGAAAAGAGATTCTACTTATTACAAAATTCTACTTATTACAAACGTACTCGACGGGGCTTCATCTCTTGAAATGTTTTTATAATAGACTCATTAGAAACAATACTAAATACTTCTATTTCTACATAAGGCACTATGCAACCGCCTAAAAAGTCATCATCCATTCGATTCCGCAAGTCATTCTTGATAAACTTCATTGCTGAGAAAGCTCTTTCAACGGTTGCAGTGGCAACAGGAAGAAGCAACGCAAGTTTCACTAAGAGGAATACAAGAGGATAAACTGAATGCTTCTTTGTCTTAACTAATATTTTTGAAAGATTAGAACCCATTTAGATTGGAGAACCTTTCATCAAAATCACGAACATCAATAATGTAACTCGCAAGTTGATTCTCAAGAGCATTCATCCTAAATTCATCAAAGTCATCAGGATACAATTCAGCCATCTTCATTATTTTTCTGATATCAAAACTTGAAAATGCGTCAATTGGATTCAAACAAGCAAATCCATGAAGCAACTCAGTCGTCACTTCGTCAAAACGATCATTAAGTTCTTGAACTTGCCAATCAAGAACTTTACAAAACACATCAACACGATAATGATGAAAGACAGTATAAGCAGCAGGTTTTCGCCATGATCTTCCAGAGTTAACATATAGATCATCAAAATTAGGCACCAAAATATCATGCTTGATACAAAACATAGAAACTTTATCAACAAACAAATCTCATTCATCATCCCTTCTTAAAGTTTGCAATCTTTTCTTCGCTACTTGAACAAGTAGCATGGCATTTGCAATATCTTGCTCTTTTTTTTGTAAGGATACATTCAGCTCATTTGTGATCCCCAAAATATCTGTCATTAAATGCAACAAGAAAGCAACTTTATATGTTTGACAAGCTTCGAGATACCCTGATGCCTTAGCTCTATCATCTAAAGTACCTGCATCTTCAACAAGTGTGTCAAGAACATCAACAATAGAGCCAAACATACGAATAAAGTTTTCAAACGACTTGTAGTGAGATCCCCAACGAGTATCCCCAGCTCTAACAAGACCGAGTTCTTGATTCAAGCCTTTACCTGTTTTTAGTTCACCCATATCTAATGCCTCTTGGAGTTTTTCTTTTTGAGAACCTCTAAATTCATCCATACGTTTAAAAGAAGCTCCCAACACATTCAAAATATTTGAAACCAATAATACAAGTTCACCTACTTGAACACACTTCTTAGAAACCGCAACTAGAGTCAATTGAAGTCGATGTGCAAAACAATGAATAGAATGAGCCGATCTACTTTCTTGTTTAATCAACTTCTTAAGACCTTTAATATCACCTTGCATATTGCTTGCCCCATCATAACATTGTCCGCGTATAGAAGATAAACTTAAAGAATGATGAACAAGTACATCGACAATTACTTTCTTTAGAGATAAAGCACTAGTATCTCGAACATGAACCATGCCAATAAACCTCTCCATCACACTTCCTTTTTTATCGACATACCGTAAAACAATAGCCATTTGCTCTTTGCGTGACACATCTAAAGACTCATCAACTAATAAAGCAAAGTAGTCACCATTTAGATCCTCTATGATAGCCTTAATAGTTTCTATCTTACATGCAGTCACAATTTCTTTTTGAATATCTGAAGAAGTCATCTTATTGTTTTTTGGAGCATGTTTCAACACAAAGGGTTCAATCTTGTCATATTTAGCCGCATACCATGAAAGAATTTCAATAAAATTACCTTTGTTCAATGACGTTTCACTTTCATCATGACCGCGAAAAGCAAATCCTTGAGTCAAAAGAATCCTTACCACATCAACTGAAGCATTTAAGCGAAGCCAATACTCACGCTTAGTTTGATCAGACTGTTTGTCAAATGCAGCAATAATAGACTGTTTTTGCTGCATTAGATCATCACAATTTCTATTTGCTTTGTTGTGAATACTATTTGGCAAACCAACATGTTTCTTAAAACATTCTTTTTTGTTCCAATTCCTAAACCCTTTACTCGAAAAAACATCACCACCACCTTGCTGAATACTTTCGCCCTTAAATAAATAACAAGGTAAACAATATGCAGCATCGGTACTTACACTATACTCCAACCAATTAAATTCATCAAACCATAGAGGATTAAAAAGACGCATAAATCCAGAAAAGTGAGATTGAGGGAAGTCATGATATCGAGGTTGGCAAGCACCACCTTGAATGTATGCCCTCCTTATTTCATCGCGATGGTTTGGATGATACTCCAATATTGGAGTTCTTTCAGCTGGGTCGGATTGTGGAGCAATTGTATCAATTTCTTGTCTTAGAGAAGAATGCGAGGGAAACTCTGATTGATCGGCATTTTGAGACGCCGAACTTATTTTTGGTACTTTGTTGTAAAATTTCAGAAAATTCATTGCAACTTCAATCTGTTGAATGTATAAACTAGTTTAAACATATTACTCCTCAACAATTAAATAAACAAAAGGAACATATCAATAATTTGTGTTTGAATTTACAACAAGCAATATACATAAATGCTAACTAATTACTTATTACTCCTAGTGTACTGTCCCAAAAATATTTATCACACCAAAAATNTTCATCTGACAATTTTGTAAGAGTTTATTGTAATAATATTATGACATCTCATACAATAGTTATTTTGTAGTATTTCATAACTATCTTATTAAGTTGCTATAAATAATAATCTTGCTAAGGCTTAATTAACTCATGAGAATATTGTATTTAGAAGCCCAATAAACTAAATGAAAGAAAGGGAAAAGTCCACAAAATTTGGACCTATCTAGCCCATCAGAAAATTTTCAAGCCAGCCCACAAATATATTTTTTTTTAAAATAATAACAATCCAATACTTGCAGCCCAATCTTTCAACCCATTTCCCCCAACCCTAACGCTTTGTCTCACTCCCTCTATCCCCATCAGAGTCGCCAATATGTTATAATCTAATTTGACCCGTGTTAAAATGGGGTATAACAGTCAAAATACTCACGAACTGCTAAGAAATACTAAACACAAAGGTCTGAAAGAAAACATAAGCTGTTTGTCTCGAATACAATGAGGCAACAGGCTAAAAAGAGAGAATAAGGGAGACGCCGGGCTTGCAGACGCATGCAAGGCTACCTCGGGGCTCACCGGGCTGGAGGCCTACTCCCGTACTAATACTGCTGTTGCTGCTGCTCGAAACCTGGACCTGTGCAATTAGCACAGAGTGTAGCATCAGCACAACCGACCCCATGTGCTGGTAAGTGTCTGGCCTAACTCCGGCGAGGTAGTGACGAGGCTAGGACCAGACTCCAGATAAACCTGTGCTGACATATATATACAAGTACAACGGAAAAATAGCAACAAAATAACAATTTAAGCTGGGGAAGGGAACATGCTTTAGGGGTGACCGATAGAAACAAAATATCAGGAATAATGGTACGTACATCTACAGTTCAACTCCTAACAATAACGAAAAGATAAGGCAACTTTCATATTCAACTGATCTTGTTGCAGGCGTGCAACCCGATCCCATTTCTCAATATCTCGTGGTAGGCGTACCACCCGCTCCCATTTCAATGTCACTCGTGGTAGGCGTACCACCGCTCCCATTTCGGTATCATTTGTGGTAGGCGTACCACTCGCTCCCATTTCAATATCATTTGTGGTAGGCATACCACTCGCTCCCATTTCAATATCATTTGTGGTAGGCGTACCACTCGCTCCCATTTCAATATATCATTTGTGGTAGGCGTACCACTCGCTCCCATTTCAATATATCATTTGTGGTAGGCATACCACTCGCTCCCATTTCAATATCATTTGTGGTAGGCGTACCACCCGTTCCCATTTTAATATCACTTGTGGTAGGCGTACCACCCGCTCCCTTTACTTTCAACACAATACACAATACAATCCCGGCAAGGGAACAATCAAATTAATACTCTTCCCGGCAAGGGAACAATCACAACAAGTCAAACATCCCGACAAGGGAGAGTCAGCTATAACCAATCCTATTCAACTTTTTCCTGGCACAACTAATACCAATATTTAATCACAACGTTCATAGGATCAAACAAGGGTACACAATTATCAAATTAAGACTCACGGTCATGCTTGACACCGACGCATGGATACTCGTCACCATGCCCATATGCCGTACTCAACACAAACAAGTAGCAATTATGACTCAACTCCTAATCCCTCAAGCTAGGGTTAAACCAAACACTTACCTCGATGTTTTGAACTCAACTCAAGCCTCAACTATAGCTTTGCCCCGAGATTTCACCTCCAACCCGCTCGAATCTAGCCACAAATTGCTCAATTACTTTACTAAACACTAAATGAATCAATTTGAATGCATAAAAATGAATTTCCCAAGTTTTTTCCCAAAAATTCCAAAATCGCTCCCGGGCACACGAGGTCAAAACCCGAAGTTCGAACCAAAACCCGGTTACCCATTCCCCCACGAACTCAAATATGTAATTTGTTTTGAAATCGGACCTCAAATTGAGGTCCAAATCCCCAATTTTTGAAAAACCTAGGTTCTACCCAAAACCCCCAATTTCACCCATGAAAATCCTTGATTTTAAGTGGAAAACATGTTAAATGATGTTAATGAATGAAAGAACTGAGTAAAAATTGACTTGCAAATGATTTGGAATGAAACTTGTTCTTGAAAAATCGCCTAAGGAGTTGTGTTTTGAAAGTGGGGTGAGAAATGGCCTAAAATTCGACTAAGTATGAAAATTGCTGGGCTGTAGATATGAGAATTGCGAACTGGGGTTCGCAACCAAATGTGGGAATTGCGAACACTTGTTCGCATTTGCGAACTATGAGGATTCGCATTTGCGAACCATAAGGTCGCATTTGCGAAACCCCAGCCTTCGCATTTGCGAGGCTCACTTCGCATTTGCGATTGGCTTCAGGCCTGGCAATTCTCGCATTTGTGAGCAGACCTTCGCAATTGCGAGCTTGCATTTGCGAGCCAGGCTTCGCAATTGGGAAGCCTGCAGGTCAGTTATAATAGCAAAATTCCCAAGGTTGAAAATGCACTCCGACACCTATCCAAAATCACCCGAGCCCTCGGAGGCTCCAAACCAAACATGCACACAACCTCAAAAACATCCTACGGACTTACTCACGCGATCAAATCGCCAAAATAACATCATATACATTGAATTAAGCCTCAAAATCCATGATTTCTTCCAAATTTTCATAAGACATCAATTTTCCATTTTAAGTCCGAAACACTTCAAACGACGTCCGTTTTCAACCAAACTTTACAGAAAGTGCTTAAACCTCATATAAGACTTGTACCGGACGCTGGAACAAAAATACGGGCCCGATACCATAAACTTTTATACAAATTTCATTTTCATTTTCCTTAATCATTTCCAAAAAACAATTTCACACAAAAATTCATTTCTCGGGCTTGGGACCTCGGAATTCAATTCCGGGCGTAAGCCCAAGTCCCATATTTTCCTACGGACCCTCCGGGACCGTCAAATCACGGGTCCGGGTCCGTTTGCCCAAAATATTGACCAAAGTCAAATTTAATCAATTTAATATCAAAACTTAGCATTTTTCTCACAGAATTCATATTTAAGCTCTCCGGCTACGCAGCCGGACTGCGCACTCAAATTGAGGCAACCCTAAATAAGGTTTGCAAGGCCTCGGAAGCATGGAATGAGTAAGAAAACAGGTGATGACCCTTTGGGTCGTCACATTCTCTACCTCTAAAACAACCGTTCTTCCTCGAACGGACAAAAGAAAGAAGTACCTGAGTCGGGAAAAAGATGAGGATAACGGCTCCGCATATCGGACTCGGACTCCCAGGTGGATGCCTCAGGAGGCCGACCTCTCCACTGAACACGAACAGAAGGAAAACTCTTGGATCTCAACTGACGAACCTGCTGGTCTAGAATAGCTACCGGCTCCTCCTCATAAGACAAATCCTTGTCCAACTGGACAGTGCTGAAATCTAACACGTGGGCTGGATCGCCGTGATACCTCCGAAGCATGGATATATGGAAAACTGGATGCACGGTTGATAAGCTAGGCGACAATGCAAGTCTATAAGCCACCTCTCCCACTCGATCAAGAATCTCAAACGGACCAATGAACCTAGGGCTAAGCTTGCCCTTCTTCCCAAACCTCATCACGCCCTTCATAGGCGACACTCGGAGCAATACCCGCGCACCAACCATGAAAGCTACATCTCAAACCTGATGATCTGCAAAGCTCTTTTGCCTAGACTGAGCTGAACGAAGCCTATCCTGAATGATCTTGACCTTGTCCAAGGCCTCCTGAACCAAATCCGTCCCTATCAACCGAGCCTCTCCCGGCTCAAACCATCCAACCGGAGACCGACACCGCCTACCATATAAAGCCTCATAAGGAGCCATCTGGATGCTCGACTGGTAGCTGTTATTGTAGGCAAATTCCGCTAAAGGCAAGAACTGATCCCACAAACCTCCAAAGTCAATAACACAAGCTCGAAGCATATCCTCTAGAATCTGAATAGTCCGCTCGGACTGACCGTCCGTCTGGGGATGAAATGCTGTACTCAACTCAACTCGTATGCCCAACTCTCGCTGGACTGCTCCCCAGAAGCGCGAGGTAAACTGCTTACCCCGATCCAAAATGATAGATACCGGCACACCATGAAGGCGAACAATCTCCCGGATATAGATCTCAGCTAACATCTCGGATGAATAGGAGACTGCCAGAGGAATGAAATGCGCTGACTTGGTCAGCCTATCAACAATGACCCAAACTGCATCGAACTTCTTCCGGGTCAACGGAAGTCCAGTAACAAAATCCATAGTAATCCGCTCCCACTTCCACTTGGGAAGCTCAATCCTCTGAAATACACCACCAGGCCTCTGATGCTCGTACTTAACCTGCTGACAATTCAAACAACGAGCCACATATGCTACAATGTTCTTCTTCATTCTACGCCACCAATAATGTTGCCGCAAATCCTGATACATCTTCGCGGCGCCCGGATGAATGGAATACCTGGAACTATGGGCCTCCTCCAATATCAACTCTCGAAGCCCATCCACATTGGGCACACAAACTCGCCCCTGCAATCTCAAAACTCCATCCGCATCTAAAGTAACCTGCTTGGCACCTCCTCGCTGCACCGTGTCTCTAAGGACACACAAATGAGGATCATCAAACTGCCGATCACGGATATGCTCCAATAATGAAGAACGAGCGACCGTGCAAGCCAACACACGACTGGGCTTAGAAATTTCCAGCCTCACAAATCGATTGGCCAAAGCCTGAACATCCAAAGCAAGCGGCCTCTGACTGACCGGAATAAAAGCAAGACTGCCCATACTGGCTGACTTCCTACTCAAAGCATCGGCCACCACATTGGCCTTCCCCGGATGATATAAAATGGTGACATCATAATCCTTCAACAATTCCAACCATCTCCTCTGCCTCAAATTCAACTCCTTTTGCTTGAACAAGTACTGAAGACTCTTGTGATCAGTGAACACCTCACACGCCACGCCATACAAATAATGCCTCCAAATCTTCAAGGCGTGAACTATGGCTGCCAACTATAAATCATGCACTGGATAATTCTTCTCATGAATCTTCAATTGCCTCGAAGCATAGGCAATGACCTTGCCATCCTCCATCAACACTGCACCAAGCCCAATACGGGAAGCATCACATAAACTGTATAAGGCCCTGATCCTGTGGGCAAAACCAACACCGGTGTCGTAGTCAGATCTGTCTTGAGCTTCTGAAAGCTCGCCTCACACTCATCCGACCATCTGAACTGGGCACCCTTCTGGGTCAATCTGGTCATCAGGGCTGCAATAGATGAGAACCCCTCCACGAACCGACGATAGTAGCCTACCAACCTCAAGAAACTCCGAATCTCTGTAGTTGATGCTGGTCGAGGCTAGTTCTTGACTGCCTCAATCTTCTTCGGGTCAACCTGAATACCTTCTGCTGATACAACATGACCCAGGAATGCAACCGAACTCAACCAGAACTCACACTTCGAGAACTTAGCATATAACTGACTATCCCTCAGAGTCTGAAGAACCACTCTAAGGTGCTGCTCGTGCTCCTCCTGACTGCAGGAATATATCAATATATTATCAATGAAAACTATCACGAATGAGTCCAAATAAGGCCTGAACACTCGGTTCATCAAGTCCATGAAAGTTGCTGGGGCATTTGTCAACCCAAATGACATGACCAAGAACTTGTAATGCCCGTACCGAGTGCGGAAAGCTGTCTTAGGGACGTCGGATGCCCTAATCCTCAACTGATGGTAACCAGATCTCAAGTCTATCTTTGAAAATACCCTGGCACCCTGAGCTGGTCGAACAAATCGTCAATCCTCGGCAGTGGATACTTATTCTTGATCGTTACCTTGTTCAATTGCCGGTAATCAATACACATTCTCATTGACCCATCCTTCTTCTTGACAAATAACACCGGCGCACCCCAACGTGAGACACTGGGTCTAATGAAACCCTTCTCAAGCAAATCCTGCAACTGTCCTTTAACTCTTTCAACTCCGGCGGGGCCATACGATATAGGGGGATGAAATGGGCTGAGTGCCCGGTACCAGATCAATGCAGAAACTCAACTATCCCGTGTCGGGTGGGCATACCCGGGCATGTTTGAAGGAAAACCGATC